TGAGATAATAAATTCAAATATGCAAGCAGCCATCAATGGCCGTAATTACCAATCAAATTTTAATCAATGTTCCTATTTAATTTAATTTGATTTCAGTTTTCATCGTCTTATTTAGTTACCAAACATACTTTTAGTTTCGGCACATATTTTGGAAGAGTTGAAAGGGAACTAAATTGCCTTCAAGTGGCTGTTCTTGTCATCGTATAAGATCAATTCTTTAATATACGATGATACTACGTGTTTTCTCTTATAAATCGTTTATAAAATCTACATTGCTTAAAGATTCTAAGAAACACAGTCTTTAACTATAAATTGTTTTATATATAGATTTATTACTATTTATAATTTAAACGTCTCTTAATAAAATATATTTTATAGTTTAAAATAATGGCAAAAGTTCATATAATAGTACTATATAAGAATGATTTTTCTTTAAAATTTAATTATAATTTTTCTATAAGATCTATTCAGTTTATCTAGTTGCTATTAAGTTTCTCGGTTAACTTGTTAATGAGTTATATTGTAAGGAATTGTTAATGGACTTACTGTTTATTAAAGACAATTGTTTAATATGATTAATATTAATACAACAAAAAGGGAAAGATGAATATAATTAATTAAATAGTTGACAATTGTTAACAATAAGTTTAGTATTCGTAGACTAAATGACATGATCTTTTAAAACAGAATAACCAATTAATTTGAAAGAATTTGCATAATATTCTAATTAACAACATTTTATATTTAAGTTTTATATTAAATAATATTATATAAATTATAAATATGATTATTGCATTTTATAGNTCTCTAAATCTAGCTGGAAAAATCATTTAATTTAAAGTATTTTGAATGTATATAGTCGTGGAATGTGTTAAAATTTCATAAATTCAAACGGTTAAAACGTTAAAATTATTTTAAATCTGAGATTTAAACGTGCGAATACGATAAGAGAAATTGAAGGTAAAGTTGAAGAAGAAGTGCCTGAGGTAGATGAGAATGAGATAAAATAATAATAATAATAATAATAATTTAGAATTAATTCTGTGACTTTACCTTAAATATTTAGCAAATGCATGCTGTTTTTTTTTTTTATTGTAACGATAATAGTGACCTTTGTTTATTATGTCGTTAGTTTAGTAGCGAAAATATTCATTTATTGATTCACTTATTAATGTCATTGGGGAGTTCCTTATTGCATGAACATGCTTTTTTTTTATGAATATTAAATAAATTTTAAGAACAATTGCATCTATTAAAATACTTACAAAATATCCTTAATAAATCGACATGAATATTCTCTATAAATACAAATGGAAGTAATTTGTATTAAAATCGGAATTTTAAACATCTTCTATACACATAAATTACTAAGATCAACGAGTCTACCAGAAAATTTCATCGCCGAGATAATTCTTTTGTCAAAATATTTAACAAAAATCTCTGTTAGATATGGAAAAATTTTTATCTACTAATACAAAATGATATTCCATAAAACACGTTGCATGTTTCTGTAGAAATTTTCGGCTGTCACGCAACAATTCATGCACAACTTTTCTTGTTTTATCCTTTATAGAAAGCTTCTTTTATACTAAAAGCGCTAGCATTTCATACCAGTAAGTTTATGGCCTCTTTCTTTCCGGATCTAAAATGCACTAAAATTCTCAAAACGCAAGGCATATGCGACCATATTTTTTAGTGCATTAATTGATAACGGTCCTCGGTGTAATATCTTATATCGACAAATTCTCATAAAATCATTCTTGCATTATTGCTGTATCGATAAACAGGTTCATAGATATAACATGATCTTTAAAAGACAAAAATCGTTTAACCACATTATGCAGAATAATACTTAACTGGATATATTGTATTCCCCCTATTTAAGGTAATCAATAAAAAAAACTTCTACTGATAATCAAAAATTGAATTTTATATTTTTTTATTTTATTCTTTTAAAAAAATATATACATTTAAATTGTAGATTTAAATAAGTTAAATACATTCTTTTTGTAGAATATTCTGATTCTCAGCATTAAAAAAAATCAGAATTATATTTATAAATTATAAAATATTTAAATAAATCAATTAATTATTTATAGTAAAGGTTTATGTAATTTATGTTTTTTTTTTTGAAAAATTATTATATATTTATCAAATTTTATTAACTAATAAATCATTCTTACTATTTTATTGATTTAATAGGCTTAAACAGACTTCATATCTAACCTAATAAAACAGGTATAATATATTAAAGAGATTTATAAATTAAATGTGTAAACAGTTTAAGATTTAATAATAATAATAATATAAAACATTATAGTTTATAGAATTATAACTTGGAAACTAATTTGAAATAAGGCCTATAGTACAACTTGGAGGGGGGAAAAACAAAGTTATAGTTAATATGTTTTTAGTTATGTTTTTATTATTTATTTTAAAGAGAAAAAGCGAATGATAGCAATAATTGAAACTAGAATTCAAGGAGTTACAGATATCAATTTTGTATCCGGATTACAGGTCACTAGCTTTAGAAAAATTCCATCACCAAGTTATGACGTTATTTTAAATTATAGAAATGTATTTTTCTAAACTTATATGAAAAAAATAAATAAATAAAACTCGATTCGATGATTATTTAGTTATACTTAGGCCTGTTCAGTTCGCATTAATAAACAATATATGTAATTAAAATCATTTTGAAATAAAAGGCTTATTAAAATATTCTTTAATCTAGTTTTTTTTATTATTAATAAATTTATTGTAAGTAAAGTAAATAGGAAGATAAGCTTAAACAAATAATTAAGAAATTATTATTTTTATTCTTCAGAAAGGAAGCAAAAAGCGGAAGCAAAATATTGCATCCATCTACTAAATAAATTTCGTTTAGCAAATTCGAATATTGAAAAAAAAGAAACAAAAAAATGGCACTTGTTTCAACGCATATATTTATATAAGTAATTTAATTTTAATTCATTTAAATATAAAAATATATACATATCGTCTTAACATATTTGTTCCATTCACGATAAACAAATAAAAATAAAAATGCAGCCATCTTGAAATATTACAAATAACTTAGTGACACTTTTAATTAGTTAAATTGTAACTAGCCAAACATTCGATTATATTTTACTTTTCTTGAGAATAAAATATTTATTTGTAAATTTACTATTTACACTAAAAATTTTACTAAGTCGAAAGAATTAAGTGGACAATAACCAAGATATTTTTCTAAGATTGATAACTTATCTGCCTTATCTCGTTATCTTCATAGAAAGAATTGTTGTATAATAAATACTTAGAAAGTCATAGCAATTTTTATAATGCTTTTCGAACATTCTAACTAATGAACTATTTATAACTTCTGTTTATATTTTATATAACTTATCGAACTTGGCACTTTATTGATTCTCGAGATACTTTAGTTAATACTTCTTTATATAAATTATAAATATGATTATTGCATTTTATAGGGCCCTAATTCGACAAGTTACATAATTTCATTCGTAGAATTGTATAGTTTCTATCAGATTCTTAGATAGAGTTCTATTGAAATGTTTCTCATTTGTAAACAGTTAATCATAATTAACAAGTTTTTAATGGTTTATAAACGAATAACAGAGATATTTTCTTTGATCTTAATTTTAGAAACACTCTTTATAAGCTTCCTTTCTATTTTCTAGTATTTTTATATTATTATTTATTCGTAATTCTATTGTTTAAAATCTTTTATTTAACCTATATTAACTTTAGATAAATTAATTTATTAAATAATTAATAAATAAAAATATTCAGATCTATTGTTATAATAATAAGTAGAAAAAAGAAAAGAAAAAGTGTAAAATTAAATTTAGGGGAGATCGGGGCAAGATCGGCATGTTAAGCTTTACTTAAATTTTGTGTAATAAATACTGCTGTAAACTGAAAAAAATCTTTTGCATATTGTCTATTGGAATGTTACCTTACTATACATCTGGTTAAAATCAGTTTGGACATAAAAATAATTAAAATAATTACAACTTTACAAGAAGAGAGAAATTGACGAAGTTGCCCCGGGTATAGGGGCAAGATCGGCAACTTCTCTCTTTTTGTAAAGTTGTAATTATTTTAATTATTTTTATTAAAGTTGCCCCTGGTATAGGGGCAACAGTAATGGGGCAAGATAGGCACGTATATAAAATTATGTTATTAACAATGTATAAGTTGGAATTCACTATTAAAACAAAGAAATACAAATCCAACACCCATTTAATATTATTACAACGAAATGCAAGTTCAAAGACATATATACATGAATAACAAATGCAAACATGTTTTCATTTATCATCTGTTTGATTTTTATCCTTTGCTTCTAATGTGGCTTTATGTTGCCGATCTTACCCCGCTAGTCATGATTTCGAAACATTAAGTACAACCCTGAGAACAGAATGCCAAGCCACGATCTGGCCACGTGAATAAGTTGAAGTTACATCCTTCTAACAGGAAAAGTAACTTTCGTTATCATGGAATTATAACAAAACCTGCCAATTCAATATAAATGGAAAAAAAATATTATATGGAATTGAACGAAAATGAAAATTTGCTTGATAATTCAACTACGCTTGTTGGAGAACAATAAAAACACTACACTCAACAAGCCACCAATAAAACTCAACTGCCTAACCTATAACCAAAGTCTCCTTTTAATTTGTTTTTAAAAAAAAAAGCGCTTGACAAACTTGCCCCGCATGCCGAAGTTGCCCCGATCTCCCCTATTTATTGGCCTTTATTTTAAATAAATTTCTACGTCATGAAAATGATAATTAATTTATAACCAATATTTATTTTGAAATATGTTAATGAATTACTTAGTTTTTAATATAAAGGATTCAATTTTTACGTGTTATCAATCAAAAATTTTCAGAGCACGAAAGAAAATTTATCAAAAACTATGAAAAAAATAAAATAAAAAATTATTTTTCGAATGAAAAGTTTGTTTTCCAAAGAGTATTTCAAATAAATTTCGAACTGAATTTCATTATTTGAAAATATCCAACGTCTTATATGACAAATAAGAGGTATCTTCCATACAGAACTTCTTTTTTCACGACATTATGATAAATTTATTCTTTCTACTGATTATCAATAAGTAAAATATATCATTTTTTCCTCTATATATTTTATTTTATTTTAAATTATTTTACTAGAAACAAATAAAAGTAAGGATTAAAGTATTAATAGGATGACTTATATAAGTGTGATCGCTAATATAATCTGGTTTATGAGGCCTAGATGCGGATGAGAAAATAGCCGAGAATATTTTTTGCTAGAAACTGTTCTGCAAATCACTTTGGTAATAAAATTAATGGTAGTTTGATAATGATGTATGGTATATTTTATCTTCTCTCTTGTCAGTCAATTTAAGAGTTTGAAAAAAAAATTATATATAAAAAAAAAAATTCTGTAGTTACCTTCAAAGTAAAATATACTTAAATTTCAACTATGTTAGGAAAATAATGGCGATAATTTAAGAATTTTATTAAGATGACTTATGAGGGTTTTATAGCTTGTTATCGAGAGTAAAGGTGTGATTTTCTTACAAAACATTACACAAAATCATAGTCACAAAAAGAATGATACATAATTTTTTTTTTTTTATTAAATTTTTAAAATTTAGTCTTTATAATACTTTTGACCAACGAAACTACTATATTATTTTTAAATCAAGTCACTTATTACTTATAAATGGCTTGATTTAAAATAATATAAATACGTACTATACAGTACATAGTATAATTATAAGTACTATACATATATATTATATAGATTATAGTACAATATAGTACATATATATATATAAGACAATATATAGTATAACTATAAAATAATAAGTACTGTACAATGTAAATATGTATACATGTATAGTATAGAAGCAATATATACTTTTTTAATATTAGAATGATTAAATTAAAAAAAATATATTTTTTTTCATTATTCCAAAACGAGAAAAATAACAAAATATATATATTTTTTATTATTTTTATTTTTATTATTAAGTTAAGGCCTTATCTGATTTTTTTCAGTTTTTAATGATATTAAAAATGCTTTTAACTGGTTATATAAAAATTGATTGCTTTCAAAGATTTATTAAATTAAATAGAAATGAATCAGGTGTTAAAAAATTATTGAATTAAATTACTATATTTACTTTTACAGATTTTTTTTTTACTTCTCAGGGGAGATTCCTAATGAGTATATGGATGATCTTAAATATTTGCATGTGTTTTTTTTTATATCTTCTTTAGTTGCTTATAAACGTTTAACGTTCTTTTATATTTATGGACATTTTATATAACTTTTTGTATATTTTTATTTATTTATATAAAAAAATAGAATATTTTAGCCAAAAAATAAGAGCGTAAAGAACTAAAACAATGTGCTATCCGCTTAAAAAATATTATTTGATTAATGTATTGATTGCATTATATAAGTAATTTCTTCATAAAATAGTTGCGAAAGTTAATTAGCGTGATAATAAAATGCAATGATGTGTCATAATAAACTAAGCTATGCTATTTTACATTTAAGTAGTTCTTTTTTTTTTTATTAAATTCTTTATATTAATCGAGGGAAAAAGTACGAAATTGTAACTTAATCAAATAATAATAATAATTAAAAAATTCTTTGATTAATTTAATTATAATATTTGATATTAAACCATTAAAAAAGTATTTAAATTAATAAAAACTTTGATATTTTCAGCTGGAAAATCAGAAATGCATTGTTTCCATATCGACTACTTTCCTAAAGAAGAATATAGCCCAGATCCCAATGATTCTACTATGGCAATACCTTGTAAGTACTTAGAAAAATTTTTAATAGAAACACTTTTGATTTATCACATAAAATAAACAAAATAATCCTTTCATAAATCATGTATCCGTTCGAGTTACCTCTCTTAAAAAACGATATTTTATGAAAGATTCGTCTTGTTTTNTACTTAGTTTTTAATATAAAGGATTCAATTTTTACGTGTTATCAATCAAAAATTTTCAGAGCACGAAAGAAAATTTATCAAAAACTATGAAAAAAATAAAATAAAAAATTATTTTCGAATGAAAAGTTTGTTTTCCAAAGAGTATTTCAAATAAATTTCGAACTGAATTTCATTATTTGAAAATATCCAACGTCTTATATGACAAATAAGAGGTATCTTCCATACAGAACTTCTTTTTTCACGACATTATGATAAATTTATTCTTTCTACTGATTATCAATAAGTAAAATATATCATTTTTTCCTCTATATATTTTATTTTATTTTAAATTATTTTACTAGAAACAAATAAAAGTAAGGATTAAAGTATTAATAGGATGACTTATATAAGTGTGATCGCTAATATAATCTGGTTTATGAGGCCTAGATGCGGATGAGAAAATAGCCGAGAATATTTTTTGCTAGAAACTGTTCTGCAAATCACTTTGGTAATAAAATTAATGGTAGTTTGATAATGATGTATGGTATATTTTATCTTCTCTCTTGTCAGTCAATTTAAGAGTTTGAAAAAAAAAATTATATATAAAAAAAAATTCTGTAGTTACCTTCAAAGTAAAATATACTTAAATTTCAACTATGTTAGGAAAATAATGGCGATAATTTAAGAATTTTATTAAGATGACTTATGAGGGTTTTATAGCTTGTTATCGAGAGTAAAGGTGTGATTTTCTTACAAAACATTACACAAAATCATAGTCACAAAAAGAATGATACATAATTTTTTTTTTTTTATTAAATTTTTAAAATT